GTAAGCCTCTGAAGATAACACACGTCTATCCTCTCTGAATGACAAGAGATTGCGCATTCTCTCCCTATGTCAAGTTTACATACATTTCAAACGCAAGAATTTTAAAAGTAATTAAATCTGGTTTAAGTTATTGCATGCCATTGCTAGCTAAAAACCTGGAATCAGAACTTAACAACAGCAGCACTTAGAAGAAACATGGCTCTGCAGGGTTCCAGCTTCATTAGTCCATGAACATTAGTAATGCTTGTATTCTGTATTGTTTTATATTCACATGTGTTAAAATATGGGACCTGCTTTTGCATAGTGCAATGCAACCATTTCTTCATACAAAATGTCATTGTGAATGCACAATTATCTCCTCGAGGATAAAGAAAGAACTATCAGGCAAAGTGTAGCCAATAGTCTGTTCACCAACTGAACATCAGATTGGAAGAAGAAGGAAAAATACAGCCTCTTACCTGCTCGATCAAATGTTTTATCACACTTAGGACACTGCAAACATTTCTTATTACTGTTCTGCACGATTACTGGAATATATGTTAACAAAGTGCTTTCAGGAGTATTCCCTGCAAGGCTATCTGGTTCCTGATCATCTTCTTCTTCGCATTCTTTTTCACTTTGCTCTTCAGACCCAGTATCATCTTCAGACGTGTCTTCTTCCTTTATGCCATCATCAGTATTGTACTCACTCCCACTATCTTCAGACTCACTGTTTTCCTTGTCAGGAGCATCTTTATCAAGATAGCTATCAGATGCTTCCTCACTTTCATTGTCACTCTGCTCAAATTTAGCTGGACACTTGCGATTTCGCATTGACCTTCTTGTAGAAATATCTGCCCTCTCAACCATTTTTAGGCCATCTTCTTTTTCTCGGATAAGGGATTTGTGGGCTTTGGACAAGTGATTTTCTAATGATTTCTTGTAACAGAAGATTCGATTGCACAAAGCACACTGGTGATTGCTTGCAACTTTATGAGTCAATTCACTGGATGTTTGTACCTGTGATGGGCTCTCAGTTCTCTCCTCAGACTGTGAATTAGAAACACTTTCACCATTTAGCAGTTTAACCGCATCAATAATATCTAAAAACTTGGCTGCCTCTAAAACTAAGGGGATTTCCTTTTTATACACAAAAAACTCTGACGTGTACAAGAACTCAAGAAGATGACGGAATACTGAATGAGTTACATGATCCAAGGTAATGACATCCGTTCTTGGATTTTTGCTCAAATAAGCATGAAAATAACTACTTCCAACAGCAACAACTACTTTGTGGGCACTGAATTCTTTTCCTTCAACAATTATGAGCAGATCACAAAAGGATGGCTGTTTCTGTCGATCATCATTTAAATATTTGAGAAGATTTCTATTATATTGCAGGGAACTCAAAAGCTCTCTTTGATCTTGCGATGGAGGAAGTTCTTTGGAACATGAAAGCTCATCTGCAGCAGCAATCCCTACAGAATCAGCAACAGTTTCTTGTTCAGGTTCTCCTACAAGAATCTTTTTTGAAGATTCCTTCTGGCG